GTTCCGAGCCTGTATTTACTACATCAATACCATTGCAGAGAATAAAGTTAAAAATCGACTCACCCCTTGCGTTGGTATCCGAGCTGCCCCATATAGCATGGTGTGCGTTGGCGTCAGCCCCAATTATTATCGGCAAATTTTCATTATTTGCCCTGGTTATAATATCGCGAACCTTTTTGTTTGGCGGTGGTTCGCAGTGGTCATGGGCCATGTAGCTGGATACCACTAAAAGGGTACCCGAACCTGTCTCCCAGGCCGCTACAACTGTGTCTTCATCGCTGAAATCGGAGAGAATGAAGACTTTTAGATCGCTTTTGGCAAGTATACATGATCTAATCCTACCTGTACCATTCATGTATAAAAGCTTGTAGCCTTTGATACTAAGTCCGCAAACCCTTTCACGGTGGATCCAGGGCTCCTGGACCAGTATAAGCTCCTCCCCTCTCTCTGCCATCCGGAGGAGCAGGGCAGCCGAAGCTGCTTTGGAATGGTGAAGGTTAATTTGCGTGACCTTCACCATCCTTCTTCTTCGAGACGTGTATAACGGTGACGTTGACGTCCTCTTGATCGGATTTCAGGAGGTCGTCCTCGTCAACCGTTTCGTCGCCGTCGGCTGTCACTTCAACCCCCTCGAAGAACTCACCAACCAGTTGTGAATTGGTTGTAGAGTCCTCCTCGGCGATTGAACTGGCAGCCTCGTCGCACGACATCTCTTCCGGAGCCGGATCCTCGCCATTTTGTACAGTTTTATCCTTATCGTCACCCCGGTAGACACGGAGAAAGATCGACTCAAAGCCGTAGTAGACCTTTCCTCGTCTCTCCCGAAGCGGCGCTAAGGACTCCCTGTTCATAATGACGGTGATCCTTCTGGAGTGTCCTTCAGATTCGGATACCCTGACTACCTTCCAGTCATGTGTGGGGATTTCAGGGTTACCGATCTTCAGGAGCTCCAATATCTCCTCTGGCTTCGCTGGTTCGTCGGGAACTAGGGCAGTGGACCTAGGCCGGCGTGGTATCTCGTCAACAGAGACCACATCCAGCTTCGCTCCATCCCACAGGCCATCCAAAAGAGCTATCGCCAGCTTAAGTAGCTGAGCAGAACGCTCATTTGAGCAGGCCATTAGCTTTACCCGACCACGGTACCAACCAGCATCATCGCACTGAGGGGGGGGACCTGGGTTCTCCTTGAGAACTCGCCAGAACACTCCCATCAGCTTTCTACGCACCATATCCCAGTTTGCATGAGATATGGAGCAGTCAGAATCCGCACGGTCGATGATGGCACGTACGAGGTGACCCTTGGCTACCTCGCTGAAGGACCTATCAAACGACCTGTGCTGCTTCAATTTCTTTGACTCGGGCTGTTGCGACTGGCCTTGTGTCTCCTCCTCCGAACGTTGCCGTTTAGGCGCGTCTTTCGACGTGAGGGGGAGAACTTGTTGGTCAGCCAAGACGGATTTAGCCCAGTTAAGCGATGACAAGTCATCGGAAGAGAGGGACTCGGCAGGCTCTTTACCTAACCGGTCAATAATTTTCTCGGCGGCGCGCCGTTTAATGAAGGCCCTTCTTGCAGGTGTAACGTGCCTTGAGGGTTTGCTATCGCCCGGTTGGACTGGAGGCACAGCTGGGGAACCCGAAATCGAGTTCGCAGTTCCTTCACTGGCGGGGGGAGGTGTAGCTATGGTACCCGAAATCTGGTTCGCAGTACTATTGCTCACGACAGGCACTGGGTTAACTGCCTTGGCAGCACCCGAAGCAGGGGAATTGGCCGAGTTTTCATCGGTCAGGGCCTGGGCAGCCTTTGAAGTACTTGGGGTGAGAGACAGAGGTACTTCGCCACCATTTTTGGTGCAACCCTTTTTAGGGGGTGCTTTATTTTGGCAGATTTTGGATTTGGGTTTCCCCTCCTCCTTTCCTGCCGGTTTTTGGTTGCCGGTAGCTCGCGGATTAGTCTGGCCCGGTGTCGCCGCCAGACTAGCCCGGATCTCAGTAGCATTCGATTCACCGCGACCTGAAATCGCCGCCGCGGGAATAGGTTCTCCGGAGATTGTAAGGCCCCCGACCGGATACATGGGGCACGTCTTTTTTTCGGACATTTGGACATTTTAAGGTTTGCATTTTATACTTACTGCCAAGTTTAAGAAAGCTGCCTCGCCACGTGGAGAAGACAGACCACCAAGCCGCCCAATATGGGAAAAACAGACGCTGGTGGATTTGACGGACGTTCTAAAGGACAGGGTCCACAAGGACCAAAAAGAACGGACCGGTACTACCGGGTGCCCTCTCAGCCACGAAAAGGGAAAAACACCCGGCAGACCCAAGATATCTGATAGCCGCCCCAAAGGGGAAAAACAGACGCTATCAGATTTGGGGGGGGTAGTTCTTAGTAAGTGCTCGCCATGAGCCCCTCTGGTGTGGGTGTCCCTATCCAGCACGGCCTGCATGGGTCATTACACTTAAGCCTTCGCATCGCGTCAAGATGACTACCCTTCGCGAAGGAACATTTTAAAAATTTTACAGGAGAAGCAAAAAAGTATTTAAATTGAAAGGTTTGTTTTATCGCGATTTCTTGTTATTCAATAAACAAATTGTTTAATAGTGAAACCTATCATTTTTTATGGTAGTTGACAATGGCTTATAGAAAAATGGATAAATTGGAATTTTTACCTTTAATATTTAAATGTTTTTTGTACATAGGGCTTTTGTTTTTTGTTTGTTGGTGCGAAGAGTCCAATTTTGTTTGTCAACATTTGTTTTGATGCAATATATTACAATCAACAATAAAATCGATTTTGAGTTTTTGGTTAGTTAGGGCCGTTTGCGTTTCAGATGACGATATGTATTGCAGTTTTTTTACGATTGTGAGATATACTTCTCTTATTTAAAATAATCTTTTGAAGTATGTCCGCAGTTATTATTAGTTTCAAAAACAACTTAACGAAGGGAGTTGTCCAAAATAATTTAAAATATGTAATGAAAACCGTTATTGCGTTTGGTGCCTTATATAAATACATATTTATATAAAATATACACTATCGGACAAAATAAAGTGCAAAAGTACTCATGCTATATTCTTTCATCGAAAAATCGGTTAAATGATTATTGAATATGGAAATTTTTTTCAAAATCATTTAGTTAATATACAACGCTACAATAATAACAATAAAACTAAATTATTGTAATTACAATTTTTCTGTAAAACTTCTAAAATAAAAGTAAATTCAATTTTTTTGTCGGACAAAATAAAGTGTAAATTTTATATATCATTATTTAAATTTCTTGTATATCAAAATTTTTTATCTATTTTGGTTCTGATTTGAATATCTGGATCTACTTAAGCCATTTTGGTAATTTTGTTCACCATTGTTATTCGCAATCGCCTTTCCTTCCCCTTGCTTTTCGCATATGATTATTTTCAAAAGAAATCCGTTTTTGATCACTATTTCATCGGAATTTTTTGATCAATTGTGGTCCAAAATTAATCTATTGGATTTAGGGCGGTGCTCTGAGCAACTTATTTAAATTTTCAGTGTTCTTTCCTAAAGTAATGCTACTTTTTAACTTTATCAAGCGCTTAAGCTATTATCTTTCCGAGATATAAAGTTGCCCAAGTCCATTTCGAAGGCACTGATCTTAAGTTTTGACTGTAATATGCTCACATAGTGTTCACTAGAGCTTTTTGAATAAATTTCCCCTAGGTTCCCCACAGCTAACATTAAAAATTAAACACATACGAAGAGTCAACTGACCCATACGTTCAATCTTTCACCAACACATTTAAAAGCATGGAAATTTTTTTTCGGTTTTAGTATTTAATTTTGTATTTTTTACCTCAAATTTGCGTAGATAGTCAGATGAGTCCTAATTTGTACCGAAAATTTTAAAATGTCGACAATGAGTGTGAGTTAAACCCTTCAATATACAATATTTTAAAAACAATACCCCAGGTTTTAAACATTATGGTGGGGGGCTATCGGTATTGGTACATTATTCAACCTTAGGAGCGGGAATCTTAGTGAAGATGGAGTAAACAATAACAATTGAGCAATTCACGAGCGTATTTAATAATTTTTTTTTTTTAAATAAATGCCGTAAAAATGGATTTGGGACACTTAATGCCTCAACAGATTTATGACTTCAAACACACGACAAAGGTTAAAAACATTACTGTAAGAAAAAAAAAAAAACACTGAAAAATTGGAATGACCTACTCAGACCATCGCCCTAAATCCAATAGATTAATTTTTGACCACAATTGATAAAAAATTCTGCTGAAATAGCGAACAAAAACGGATTTCATTTGAAAATAATCGTATGGGGGAAAGCAAGGGGAAGGGAAGGCGATTGCGAATAATAATGGTAAAAAAATTAAAAAAATGGCTTAAGTAGATCCAGATATTCAAATCAGAACCAAAATAGATAAAAAATTTTGATATACAAAAAATTTAAATAATGATATATAAAATTTACACTTTATTTTGTCCGACAAAAAGGTGAATTTACTTTAATTTTGGATGTTATACAGAAAAATTTTAGGTGGAATGATTTTGTTTTATTGTAATTTTTGTAGCATTGCATTTAAACTAAATGAATTTTAAAAAATTCCATATTCAGTAATCATTTAACAGATTTTTTGCTGAAAGAATATAACATGAGTACTTTTGCACTTTATTTTGTCCGATAGTGTATATAAAATTAGGAGACTATTGGCTATTCAATTCCATAATATGCATTTTTTTTTTTAATTTATCAATTAGTTTTGTAGATATTAACGATTACAAGTTTTTCGATTTTGGTGGGTTCAACCTTTATAATTAATTTCATTTGTAATAAGCCAAATTAGTTTAAGCCCTGGAAGATAGGGCTAACTTTTTTTAATATATTTTTCTTGTATTTATATGAGATTAATATCAAATAAATAAATAAGATTAATTTAAATGTCCACAATTAATATATTCTATTTATTTATTTACTTACATGTACGTATTTCGATCAAACAGTGAAGATTGAGAATTACATTAAACAGTTTGTAAACGAAATCGATGATGTAGAAAAAGCTCCAAAATTTTTAGAAATCCAATGTAAAGGGATACCTTATAAAGGATTTACTTCCCAGCCTGAAATAGCAGCTGCATCAACAATGTGCTATTACAAGTTAGTTCTATGACAAAAAAATAAATTATTCTCATACTTTAATATTCTTTATGGTATTTTTATTTATCATTTTTTAAGTAATGGAATCTACGTCAAGGATGATATTCCGAGAGCATCTATTCTATTTGTAGAAGATCCAATTATGCAGTCATTGAATATTCCCATTTTAGATTGCGAAGTTTGTTATAAACAATCTCAAAATCAAATATACTCTTGTCTAGAGTGTCGATATAAAACTTACTGTTCACTGCTTTGTTTGGAAAGGGATAAAGCCGCTCACAGAGACGAATGTATCGGTTATAAACAATTAACTATTCTTGTGCTGGACGCAAGTAGTAATTTTCGTATCTTTGTACGTATTTCAAATCTACTTTACGAACACATTTTTAATCCACAAATGTTTCGCAAACTAAGATCCGCTGAAGAGGTTTGGAATAAAATGCTCGAATTGATAAAGACTTTAGAAATACCAGGCAATATTGATTTGGATTTGCTCCGAATGAAACCAGGCTATTTTGATTTATCGGAAATGCAGTACTCGACCCTAGTGGCGACATCATTTCGTTTGACCTTGTTCATTGAGAAAAAAACCGATCTGATTGATAAGTACTACAAGAGGCTACATATTTCTAATAAACAAAAATTAATTTTAATTGGTTCGATACTAATGCGCATACACTGCAATATTCTCTTAAACTCCTTTGATTTTGAAATAACCAAAACTGTAAACAACGAAAAATCGAGAAACACGCTGCCTCTTAATTTAAGTATTAAAGAAATAGAAGAAATGGTAAAAACCATTAATAGACGCCAATGTAGCATCATGGACGTTGACAAATTCTATGACATTGATTTCGACAAAGATGTAAGACAACGAGCTGAACAAATAATTAATTCAAAGAAAGACAGTAAAGAAATGGGTGTATCGCATTTGACAGTCCTAAGGCACGTTAAACCATGCAAACGAATACACCGCATTCTATCAACATACAAGGACAATATCGCTGAGCTCTACTTCCAATCCGAACTAATGCATACCATTATTTATGGAGATGCTGCCAGTCAGCCTACTTCTAGCGCTTCCGCGAAAATACTTTGTGGTCGAATTGCTGATATGTCAGACATAGATCGTTACATGTTTGTCAAGAGATTTGCTCGATTATTTCACATTCATTATGCGGAGTATTTTCTTCAAATGTTTAATCGGGATGAAGAAATACAACAGGTTTTAACGTTGTATTGTCCCACACTGCGAAAATTTAAGCATTCTTGTGAACCAAATGTGGAAGTATTGTAAGTGCGAACTCATTAAATAACATGTTTATATGATTTTTTGTGATCTATTTTTTTAGAGTATTGGATAATGGTGTTGTAATCGGAAAGACGTTAAGAAAAATCAAAAAGGGCGAACAACTGTATGTATCATTCAAAGCGCATTATATGCATCATGCTAAAGTGGAGAGAAGGCAGTTTCTTAAACGAAACAATATAAACTGTAAATGTGAATATTGTAAAAAAGATGATTATGATGATCCGATTGTAAGTTGAGTATTAGTTTGAGCGATTTTTTACTTTTCTATTATCTTTATTATTCCTTTTTTCCAAACAATAGAATTTGCGTCTTACAATATTTTGTGATAGGTGTAAAGTTATTCAAATCACACCGAATCAGGGTGTTTGTCCTTCGTGTAAAAATCTATTCAACAATCTATTTAATAAATATCGTACGGTTGTCTATATCTTGGAAAATGAATTGAAATTCGAGTTGAGCCCTTGTGAGTCAACAGAACGTGATATATACATATTACATTTAATTTTGTTTTCATATGCAAAACAGTATTTTGTTCCCCAAAATGAAGTAAGAATTGCTATAGAATTGAGAATGGCGTACTTTTTAGCTATACAAAGTGAGTATTAAATGAGAACTACATACATATATATGTATGTATGTATGTACATTAGTGTTATAAGATTTTTGTTCTGCAAAATACCACAGCACTGCCTTATTGCCAATACTGATAATAGAATCTATTTTTAAGCTAATTTGGTGAAAAAACTTCCTGCACCGAAAGAAATTTCTTAAATGCTTTTGTTCATTATTTTTACTAAAATTATTTTAACCCATTAAGGCCCACGGCGATCTACGTAAGGTAGAAATGTGAAATTTGGATATGACAGTTTACTTGTGTATATAAACCGATTTCAATTAAAAAATTTTTTCTATCTTGCCTTGTTTGGATTTTAGAAGACGTTACGTATACGTAACAGTGGGCATTACCCACGAATTTTTGTCCCTTAAGTATTTTAAGTAAAAGTTACATATGTTTACCAAAAAATCGTAAAAGAACTGGTTAATTATTAAGTTTTAAGCTTGGATTAGCTAATTTGGTGTATCATACAAAATTTTTTCATATAAAATAAAAAATTATTTAAAAGTATAAAATTTTAATTTGTGGAATTTTGTAATTTCTGTAATGTCAATTAATGAATTTAAAGAAATTTGTATATTTTGTATATTATTGACTAACGTTACACATTTTGCATACATTTACCAAAGGTCCTTGGCGCTTGTATCCTTGCAATTTCCCTAATAATCCAAGAAAATGGTCATAATTTTCAACCCATGTTTAATGTTTGAAGGATAATTGCAATTATATTCCGTTTTTCTTGTAAAAATATATATTTAATATTCGCCAACTGTGCCTTGAACAAGTTCTAATGCGGTCAAATGGCATATCCTTTACAGAAATTCTTAAAAAATTTAAAATATCCACGAAAGGACGATTTAATAGAAACATTTACATTAAAAATATATTGCTTGTCATCAAATATCAATATTTCAAGAAAATATATTGTTTTTTATTACGTTAAAAACCCATTCTTCTGATAAAAAACTATTTTTGAGGCAGATTTCATAAAAAAGTAAGCAAGTTGTTCATTATTTATATCGTATGTAGAGTGGGACAAAAAGTACTGAGAACTGCCCACTGTTACATATACTTAACACCTTTATTATCCTCTTTATAAGTCTCCGCAAGGACATGGTATATGTTTATAAACAATTAGGTAATAAACATTAATTACTTCTTTATAAGTTTACGTCTGAAACTTTTTTTAAAAACTAACTACATAGAAGTTATTAACATTCTAAGAATTCATTCCTCGAAAAATATGACTTTTTGCAGGTTTACAAAATAACCCAAAAATACAATTCTATAGGCAAAAATTACTCAAATTCGATTTATAATCGTTAAGAATATCTTAAGTTAACCTATCCATCACAAAAAAGTAACTTTGCATTTTCCATTTCTGTGCATTTCGAGTCCAAATTCGAATTAATTTGCGTTACGTATATGTAACTGTGGGCATTAATGGGTTAATCATTTTCACATATGTAAATGCTACTACTATCTAAAATATGGAATATTTTCGCGATTTATTTAAAATTTCGTAACATATTTATAAAGAACAATTTTCTCTTTAAGAAAACGTAACAATATTGTAAAATTTTTGCAAAAAATATATATTTTTCTCAAGTAATATTGATATAAAACTTCAATGTATTTGCTGCGGGAACTTTTTTCACGTTCGCGAAAAAATAATATTATATTCCGTAACATCTGTTTACACTCTACAAGGTCTTGCTGTGGTATTTTAGATTTTTGCGAAAATTGTAAAAAGTTATAACCCCAACGAGTGTCCCGATAAACAGCCTTTTTAAGAATTTCATGTAAGAATACGAGAAAAATAAATTTCTCTACCAACGATTGAAAACCCGAATCTCATTATAATTTTTGAAAAATAAATATTTTCTATTTAATGGATCCCAAAAATTCCGTAATTTTTTGAACATATTTTACTGAGATCAAGATTTTTCTTTCAATCGCAGGTAGGGAACTGTGGACCTTTTCAAAAATTTATTTTTTATTTTTCTAGTTTAAGTACATTAAAACGCATAGTTTGAGAGGTATTCCTCCTATAAAGCGGTCCACGGGACACCCTAATGTGCATGTTTTTATTCGGTATATTTATACGTATGTATGTATATACATTTGTTATTCCGTTTGTAATTTCTACAATATAATATTCGGGATCCTTATGTCCGTCTGTATGTCTATCTGTCTGCCAGTCCAGTATGTTTGTTGAAATCAGGTTTTAGAAGACTTCAGATATTTGCGAGATCCGAATCTTCAACAATTCTGTCAGACATGCTTTCGAAAAAATCACAATTTAAAATCAGTTCATCAGTTCAGATATGAGCATAAATCCGAGACAACCTCAGCATACACCATTGAGATTTATGGTGTATGCTGAGACAGAAATTATAAACAAACAACAATTTCTCACATAATCATCATACGGTAAATTTTGTTCTTGTACTTGCTTGTTTATAAAAAAAAAAAAAAAGAACAACACCTTGCGAATGAATCAGTGTGTTGTTATTGGCTTGAAACCTGAAATTAAACATGTAGGTCCCTGAATATAAAAGGGAACCTTTTGGTACTTTTTCGTTCTTCAAAATGTACTTTTTGAATTTTCTATAATATTGAACCTAGAAACATGAAATTAAAGATGTAGAGCCGGAATAAAGAGAACTTATAAAAGGTAACTTTTTGGTACTTTTTCGTTCTTCGAAAGGTACTTTTTGAATTTTCTATAATATTAAACCTAGAAACATGAAATTATGTATGTAGAGGCCAGAGGAAGTGAGAAACTATAAAGGGAACTTTTTTGTTCTTCAAAAGGTACTTTTTTAATTTTCTATAATATTGAGCTTAGAAACATGTAGAGCCCAAAGTAGGTGAGAACATATAAAAGGGGACTTTTTGGTGCTTTTTCGTTTTTCATAAGGTACTTTTTGAATTTTTTATAATATTGAACGTAGAAACATGAAATTTGGTACTTTTTCGTTTTACAAATGGTATTTTTTGATTTGACACATCATGGTGAAGGGTATATAAGATTCGGCACAGCCGAATATAGAACTCTTACTTGTTTACATTAAACTTGGGTATTTAACATTTTCAGATTTTGCCAAAGAATCATATAAATTGGTCAAAGAAATCCAAGACAATATTTTAACAACATATGACGAACAATTAGTCTGGTTCACATTTTACGCCGAAATTTTATTAATAATCAAAATTATACTGTGGAACAATTTGGAAGACAAGTAAGTACCTGCAAATTTATATACATACTTATGTATTGCACTTTTGTTGTTTCTAAATAATTTTCAATTGCATTTTTAAAATTTTTAACTGATTTTTATTATTATTTTTTTTAATATTGATTTTTATTTCAAAAATTTAATTTTGAATATAAAACACTGGCCGACAGAATTATTTTTTGCGTCAATTTACATTCATTCATAATTAACCCGGTCGTGAGTATAGCTAATGACAATACAATATTATGTTCGAATATTCGAAACTAAATTCGAATATTCAAGTTATGTTCGAAAAAAATTTTATGTTCTTAAACAAAATTAAATTTTTGAAAATTCGAATTTAAGTTCGAAAAAATTTAATGTCATTATAAACAGTTCTCGTAGCTTGAATTGTCTGAAATTTGACCGTTTGGAGTACTCTTGATGACAATACAATGCTATGTTCGAATATTCGAAATTAAGTTCGAATTTTTTTTTTTTTTTTTTTTTGTGAATAAATTGTGTGTATTCAGAAAAATATAGTTTTAGTTCTTTTCTAGGGCAACTTCTTACATTTTCTAATATCCAAATAATGTTCCAATAAATTTTAAAGCCGTTAAAATTATATCAAAATCCTGGACATTGACATAAATATAATTTTAGTTATTTTTTCTTGCATTTTCCAATTTCGAACATACAAAATTTGAAACGAATTCGCAGTATGTATGATTTGATTGTATTCCATTCGACGAATTGACGCAACGAATCTTTGTCAAATAGTTCGTCATGCAATACGAAATTCGTCGTTCGCCCCAATTGTGCGTATACCATAAATTCACATCATTACAGTCCATAATAGATTGGCAGTAGTTCTAATTTTTAAGAAAATCAATTCGCTAAATGGTTACGCATAAAGTATTGGGATTAGTATCTATATTTTGATCATATGTTTCAAGTTAAATAAAATTTGCGTACATATAAACGAAAATAAACATTGATCTAACTACGAAATTAGTACATTTTTATAATCTTATCAGAGGTCATGTAGCAGAAATGCTCTTAACTAAAGAAATGCAGTTAGAAATTTATAAAATAAAATTGAAAATTTCATTAATTAAATTATAAAGCTACAGTTGTGTTCAATAAATATGCCTAATTAAAATATTGTGTAAAAGTATTGAATTCTTGATGTTGCTTACTTTACAGCACTCTTATTTGTTTGAACAGAGCTGTATGTACATTAGGGTCATAACCAAAATTAGGCCCTATTACTACGTGGTGGCCAGTAGTGTTCTAATAAAGAAAAACTTTTTCTCAGGTTATTTTAGTGCAAAAATCTTTCTTGACATAGATTTTGTGAAACCTTTAGAGTAAATAAAACTCGAGAAAATGTAAAATACTTTTTCAACGTATTTTTTCATACTCTAATTGGAATGGATAGTTCCGATTTGAAATTTTCAAAAATTGTATAAAAGTTATCACCCTAATGTACATTTTGGTAATTTTGTATTAGTCTTGCAAAGTAATTTTTATTGTAAACTTTCTATAGGCTTGTTTCGTTATCAAATTCAGAATTAAACGATTTGTGTACATTTGGTTTACACATTGCTAATGGACAAAAAGATTATATTGACTTTTATGAAATATTTGACTCCGAATGTTCGAGTGTATTAGATGATATTAAAGTCTTATTAAAATGGAAGGAGAAAATTGCATGTACTGAATATTTGCCTTTGGCAAAATTTCTAAGTATGCCCGAACCGCAAATACATTAATAATAATTTTTATATTAATATTGTCATTTGTTAATTTTCATTCCACTACATTATTTTTTTTTTATTAATTTACTAAATATATTTACGTATACGTATGTATGTTCTTATACTCTACAAGTTAAGTAAAATGTTTGAAATATTTTTACTTTGTGTAAACTGAATAAATATTTATTTTATTTTATGTTATTTTCCTTTTTGTTAAGCTTACCTTTTTAATGGATTTAAGGTATTTTTGTTACTGTATTGATTTATTATTTATTTTATTCGTGAATCCAAGAATGGATTTTTGTTTAGTACATGTTTTATTCAAATATATATATATGTATGTAAAAATATATTTATGATCAATAAAAAATATTTTTGTGCTGCGAAATCAAAAAATTCTTAAATTTAATGGCTAAAATAATTTGGAATTTATAAATAAAAGAGCAGTTTCCATAAAAATTTAATATACATCTTAATAAAATATTTTTTTTGACAGTTCAAATCAATTAAGTTTTTAATCTTTGAAAAATCATTGTTATAAACAAGAAAATTACGATTTATTTCATTAAAATCAGAGATGGGGGTAGTGCACTATTTTTTAGTTAAATCAATATTTCACTAGCACTAAATATTATTTCAAAAAATATATTTTTCATTAATTTTCAGCAGCTTAGTGATAGTGAAGCTTATATTTTTAGCACTATTATTTTTTAGTGATAATGTTATTATTTTAACTATAACTCAATTGAGTTGTAGTGTAGAAAAAAGTACCTACTACACTCAAATAGTTAAAAATTTGAGATTCCGCACAGCCGAATGCACAGTGGGGCAGAATCGGAATTTTTTGGAAATAAATCTGGCATTTCTAAACGGCTGATCCGATCGGGATAAAATTTGGCGTGAGCATAGCCAAGGAGTATTCGAGTTTAAGTTTTGAAGATGAACCCTGCAGATGCCCCAGGGACGGCGCTGTAGCGGCTCAAAATGGGGTACCTACGACATGTAAAATTTTTAAACTCGTGCCATTTTTTTGTTTTTCACCCAAATACAAAGATTTTTATATTTTCTGAAAGCGCTCGACGAGATCTACTTATCTCTCATTTAAAAATTTAGTGATACAAAATTTACCATACCTTAGTCCGCCTTTTTTTGAATACCGGGCGTAATTTTGGACCAAATTGACTCAATTTTTTCTTGTTAGACAACAAAATTTCCAATAATATACAAAAAAATTCAGATCAATATCATTTACAGATCCAAAAATATACGTTTTTTAATTTAAAAATTCAAAAAATTTTAGATTCTTGCCGTTTTTTTGCCAAAAATGTGTCTTAACTCTTTTATTAATAAAATAAAATTTTCTTTAAGAACATATAACAATTTTATAGTTTTCTAAAAGGTATCTTTACGCAGAACGCTTTGGCGTAAAAAACTTGCCCTATTTTTTGAAAATGTTGCCACTGCGTCCTTCCGAATATGACCTATTTTTTATCAAAACTTCAACTTTGGGCGACATGTTCTGAAATCCCAAAGCTGGGATCAGAAAACTGAAAGCAGTTTTGGAAACCTCAATATGTTTTCTATTTACTCCAAAAGTATTTTCCCAGCCCTGAAAGAAATGTGGACCCTATGGGCAAAAATGTAAAAAATCCCATTTTTGGGATTTTCATTCCTATTTTTAGGAATTGCGGGATGCCCTTTGACCTTTTCAATTTTTTTTTTTGCATTTTTTTATTTGAAATGACAAATTTAACAAGCGTTGAAAATTTCTTTGAGTTTTGTTCATAAATAAAGATTTTGTCTTATATTACATATTTGTTAAATTTCTAAAACTATGATTTATATCAAAATTTTAATAGGGTCGCAGATAGCTACAACAATTTAGTCCATATTTATCCCTTAATATCATTTTTTAGTTAGATATGGAAATTCTCGACCCTTTACAAAAAATTTCAAGCCAATATCTCAATTACATTCAAAAATATGTACATTTAAACCTGTATCCTTTAATTTCATATTTTTCATATTTTAGTATTAAATATGACAGAACATATTTAAATCTTATATTTACCTATTTTCTATTTGTTTGCTTATCCTTATAATTGAAAAGTCCTTTAAACCTCTATTTTTCATATTTTAGTATTAAATATGACAGAACATATTTAAATCTTATATTTACCTATTTTCTATTTGTTTGCTTATCCTTATAATTGAAAAGTCCTATTATGCTTTAATTTTCAGAAATTTATAACTATTTTTTACCTAAATTTTTTCGACAGATCATTTCGTTCTGTTTCGTTTATGATCATGTAGGTAAAAATGTACAGGTAATGATAATTTCGATTCATTCACTAATAAGAAATATCAATGACTGAATTACAGGTTATAGTAATATAGTCCTAAATGTTAATAGGTAGACAATTCGTAATTTTTTACTTTGGATCCACTTACGATCCAGGAAAAAAACAAACTACCCTACCATCACCTATTGCTGTTAATGATGTGGAAGCTTGTACTGATATATCATCTTTGCTCGAAACACAGCATAAAGAATTGTGTCAGACTTTTCAGAAGACCAACTAAGGAAAATTCATAACTGTGATGTTGTCTTAATGTGTAAGTGGGGATGTGACGGTTTATCAGCACTTCCAGAATACAAACAAGCTTGTGGAAGTCGGACATTAGCAGACTACAAAAGTGTATTTATGTCATCATTAGTTCATATTCCCTTAATCCATCATCGTCAAGCATCGGAAATTCATTTGAAGATATATGGATCAATACAACTCCGGGTTCAAAAATTTTTGTAGACCCATTGGATTTGAATATATAAAGGAGTCAAAGAAAACAACAAAAGATTTAGTGGAATATTTAAAAGATGAAATAAATGCACTGGAGCCCATTTGCATAAAAATAAAGGAATTCTCTATTAACGTATCATATCAGCTAAGCTTAACAATGATTGATGGAAAGGTCAGCAATGCCATAACAGAAACTTCTTCCGTCTGGAGATGCTCAATATGTAATGAGAAAAAGTCGCAATTCTCAAATATAAACAAAAGCAGAAGTATTAATGAAGAAGTCATGTCTTTCGGAATTTCACCACTTCATGCCAGAATACGATTTTTGGATTACTTTTTACACATAGCATACGACCTCAAATATTGAAGTGTGCCAGAGAATCTTACTAAATCAACAAAAAATAATGAAGAATTGAAAGAACTGAGAGCTGCGGAAAAAAGCAGAATCCAAGAAGAATTTAAAGTTCAGATGGGATTAAACATCGACAAACCACTTCCAAGTTGCGGTAGTACAAATGACGGTAATACGGCGAGAAGGTTTTTTCGTGATTTTGAAATTACTTCAAAAATAACTGGAATCGACAAGGAGTTGCTTCGAAGAATTAACACTATTTTAATGGCACTGAATAGTAAACATAAAATTAATGGAAATCGATTTGGGGAATATACATCTGAAATTTCTAAATTACTTGTATCTCTGTATCCATGGAGGGAACTAACACCAACAGTACACAAAGTATTGTGTCATGGTCAAATAATAATTGAATCGAATATTCTTCCACTTGGAGAGTTAACAGAAGAAGCCCAGGAAGCGAGGAATCGAGATTTTAAGCATGTTCAACTATTCAGCTCAAGAAAATGCTCCAGGCAATCACAGAATGAAGATATTTTTAATAGTTTACTTCTATCTTCTGATCCTGTTCTTTCAACTATGCGAAAAAGATGGATTTGTTATGAAACTCTATCATCTCAAAACAAGGAAGATTTAAAGGACTTATATTACCTTCTGGATATGTATACCGATATGACAGATTATTTTATAGAAAATAAGTAGTGTTAGGAATTAACTATATAAGTAGGTTGTAAGAATTAATTGTATTATGTTTAAGATAAACAGTTCAAATAAAAAAAGCTATTATACTAACTGATGATATTGTATTAAATTGTGTTTTATATTTCGGTGTGCAGGAAAGGTGGTTTTTGTGTGGGGTGATTTAGGTGTTGTTGTACGTGGCTCATAATAAAATTATATTTTTTTATTGTATATACAATGTTATAGTCTTTAATAAAATAATTAACTAAATAATTTTTAAAAATTGTCCAAATATTTTATTCAACACCAAATGTATGTTCTGTCATACTTAATACTAAAATATGAAAAATATGAAATTAAAGGACACAGGTTTAAATGAACATATTTTTGAATGTAATTGAGATATTGGCTTGAAATTTTTTGTAAAGGGTCGAGAATTTCCATATCTAACTAAAAAATGATATTAAGGGATAAATATGGACTAAATTGTTGTAGCTATCTGCGACCCTATTAAAATTTTGACATAAATCATAGTTTTAGAAATTTAACAAATATGTAATATAAGACAAAATCTTTATTTATGAACAAAACTCAATGAAATTTTCAACGCTTGTTAAATTTGTCATTTCAAATAAGAAAATGCAAAAAAAAAAAATTGAAAAGGTCAAAGGGCATCCCGCAATTCCCAAAAATAGGAATGAAAATCCCAAAAATGGGATTTTTTACATTTTTGCCCATAGGGTCCACATTTCTTTCAGGGCTGGGAAAATACTTTTGGAGTAAATAGAAAACATATTGAGGTTTCCAAAACTGCTTTCAGTTTTCTGATCCCAGCTTTGGGATTTCAGAACATGTCGCCCAAAGTTGAAGTTTTGATAAAAAATAGGTCATATTCGGAAGGACGCAGTGGCAACATTTTCAAAAAATAGGGCAAGTTTTTTACGCCAAAGCGTTCTGCGTAAAGATACCTTTTAGAAAACTATAAAATTGTTATATGTTCTTAAAGAAAATTTTATTTTATTAATAAAAGAGTTAAGACACATTTTTGGCAAAAAAACGGCAAGAATCTAAAAATTTTTGAATTTTTAAATTAAAAAACGTATATTTTTGGATCTGTAAATGATATTGATCTTAAATTTTTTGTATATTATTGAATTTTGATGTCTAACTAACAAGAAAAAATTGAGTCAATTTGGTCCAAAATTACGCCCGGTATTCAAAAAAAGGCGGACTAAGGTATGGTAAATTTTGTATCACTAAATTTTTAAATGCCTATGTTTTTTCAAGATCTCGTCGAGCGCTTTCAGAAAATATAAAAATCTTTGTATTTGGGTGAAAAACAAAAAAATGGCACGAGTTTAAAAATTTTACATGTCGTAGGTACCCTATTTTGAGCCGCCACAGCGCCGTCCCTGGGGCATCTGCAGGGTTCATCTTCAAAACTTAAACTCGAATACTCCTTGGCTACGCTCACGCCAAATTTTATCCCGATCGGATCAGCCGTTTAGAAATGCCAGATTTATTTCCAAAAAATTCCGATTCTGCCCCACTGTGGAATGTAACATTAACTTGCTGGTATTATAAATTACGACTAATTTCAGTTGAAGTTGTGTTGTTGTTTCCAATTAAAAAAAGTGTTTAAGCAGATGACGCTTTTTTGCTTAAAACTTTAGGTTATTATCGATTATACCAAATAGAAAAATTTCATTTAGAGTTCAGTTGTAAATCCTAATGGGGGCATTAATTATTCACACCTGCGTCCCAATTTACACATTCGTAAACGAACAGAATTAAATAATTAATTTCAATAACCTATGCGGTAACTAGGTCCCTAAATATTCGAAATTCCAAAAATCCATCCTTAGTATAGATCCTTTAAGAAGATATTTTTTTGCCAACAAACATCTACTGTCAACATTTTATGCTTATAGGTTTCACCATTTGGGCTGTGTAACGCGACTCTTATTTAAATATATGTACATACATAGATTATTCTATTATTCGTATGATATCTTTTTAATATAAATGGGATTCTATCTGGTAGTTCGGAAAATTGTGGCTAGAAACAGAGTAAATACATTTTTATTACCTTTTTTGGGGTATGTATATGTAAATATTATTTTAAGTGGAAAATATTGTATCCTAAAGTCCCAAACCTTGGACTAATCTAATCATTTTTATGAAAATTAACAAAGCCTATTATTTAATTGTCAATTAGGTTTTACCCTTTTCCCACCTTTACTTATTAAGTAATTTATTAAGAGATCTAAAACATTTAATTTTCTATGTGGACTAAAATGTCCATTTTCTGTTCGATTGTACTTTGAGGTATTTAATTAAAAAACGTTTACTTGGAGAAGAATGAAGCATAAAATCTGAAAACATACTTAAACATTTACAATTAAAATTAAAACAACGCATTTTAATAATTTATTTTGTACATTATAAATTTATATATTGATGTAATTCTTATTAAAATTAATATTTACAATTGAAACTAAAACAAATAAAAACAAATAATAATAATGCTGATACATGGTGTGGTAGTAAGTTGTTAACGCTAAATATACAATATAAAAACAATACATTTGAAAGTTTATAATTTTATATTTAGAATAAAATAAAAAAATTAAACAGAAAAATTAAATAAAAAAATATCATACATAAAGTGGCCTTCGAAGTTTGAAATGTCTTCAGCAAAAGATTCAGGAAAATGTATACAAATCGCAAATATGTGAGCACACCTTAATACAATTGATTTACAACTAGGTATGTACATGTATGTATTTTATTATTTTCCATAACCATGCAGAGGTGTGGGGGCGGCTGCCAAATATGGTTTCTGATCAATCCATTTCGTTAAATCTACTTGTGGTATATTAGAGCATGGCACAACAGGATTGCTGTAAGTATACGTTAAATCATTTTTTTATTAAGTCCTTTAAATTAACTTCATATGTAATAAAAACACATAATTTTAAATTTACTATATACATTGACGTTCGAAAAAGCGTTAAATTATTTCTGATTTCACCATCTACATATATAATAATATTAATTTGTACTTAAGAATGTGAAATGTAGGAGATTTTTTTCATTGCTCAGTGTCAAAAGACGCGATCTTTTAGTATTGTCATTTATTATTTTAAAATTCTGTAGGTAGTTGATTTTTCATAAAAACTTACGATTTTGAAATAGATAAGAAGGCTTGTGGCTGCATGGATGCGATATTGTTACCATTGTCACACAATAGACGAGCCATACTTGCTTTTCGTATTTCAGCTAATTGATCTATTAAATAAAAAATAAACATTTAAATATTTGCTCCAAACAGTATTGGTGATTATCTTTTACCTGGAGTAAAACCGGCATATTTATCTCCATTCTCAAAGAAGAAACGATCGCCCACACGTGTACGATAGAATTGTTCGGTTAATATACACAGGAAAGTTGGTCCAGCTAAAGCTCCAGCAACATGAGATTCAAGTGAACCACCAACCGTAACATCAACATCTTCATGACTTTCATATAAATTCTTTAGTTTTTCAATTATCTGAAAATAGAAAGAAAATCTTCAGTTTAGTTTCATTCTAAATATCCCACTAAGTTGATTTAGTAGACGTTCACTATTTACATACTTGTGGATCAATAAGGTCGGCAAACTCCTCCCAGCTGTGAGCTCGTCTCAAGCCGCAAAACTCTCTAAAATCATTATAGGAGGCGAGACCATGGTCACGATTACGTTGAATATCTATAGCTCTCAAATCGCTGCCAAATGGCATGTTGCGTCTAAATAAAAAGTGCTTAATCTAGAAACACCAAGAAGAAAAAATTAACAACAACTTTTAAAAACTAAAAAATACAATCAAAAGACAATGAGCATTTGTCAACATGCTGGTTCTTCGTCCATTGGTCCGCATAATAATAAGAAAAAAAGAAACAATAAATCATGTTCATTACAAATAAAACAAACAAATGAATGAACTAACGAACGAACGAAAGACCAAGCAAATTAACCAACTGGAAATGTTACGTTACCTCTCGATCAAAGTTAATGTCTGTTAATTCCTCTGGCTGAGTGGCATGACCGCGTGTTAGTGAATCAAAGTTGTCGCCAACTTCTATGATACCAGGTCGATTAAACCAGTCACTTAAACGTAAAGAGCCCAAAACAGATCGAAGTTCTGATAATAAACTGCACGAAACATGAAATAGAAACAGCAATGATCATTTATTTAGTTTTTATTTTATTTTTTATCCAACAAATAGTAGAAAAGTAACTAACAAGGTTTCCTAAATAAACTGCATTTAGCAATGTTTTCTCAATATTGTGTAAGTTCAGTTTAAGCTGTCATAATAGAAGGGTTTCTAATTTACTTGCGAAAACTAGCAAAAACGAAAACAAAAATCTAACAACTCATATCATTAAAGCTTATACATATAAAATATTAACATATCGGATACAACATGCTGGATAGATGTGACATTTAAAAATGTTTAAAGGATTTAAACGTTCAATTTAATGTGTTTAAACCTTCGGAAAACTTCCCAAGAGGGTCGAACATTTTTCGTAATGATTTTTATTTAATATACTCTGTAACAATTTTACAAAAAAATTTAGCAATTCTGTGTACTCAGTTTTTCATAATCAGCTCTTGTGTCCTTATAAAAGGACTTGAAAGTTTCAAAAGAAAAAATCAATTATTTATAATATGAGATGATGCCAATCAACATTTTTTAAATTAAGTCTTAAGAATACATAATGTTTTTGAAATATGAAACAAAACGTCCGTTCAATCTATCCGAACTATATGGTCGAAAAATTTTTAAATTCAATGTATAATAGATTGGATTCAAAAAGCAAAACTAAGGTAATGCGTTTGAAAAATATGTATATAATTCTTGGAATGATAGTTCAATATCCAAAAAAAAAAAAAAAATAGAGTATTAATTTATTCGAAGCTTTGTTAATAAAAATATATTTAAATTTACAATATTTTAATTGCAGTTTTAAGCTTTTTCCCCTAAATATTCATTTTAATTAATACTTATGGTTTATAATACATACTCTAATCTTCCTTCAATTTGTGAATGGAAATATCTAAAGGCAGCTGTTGCATGTGAGTTCAAAACTGATGGATCAATACTGGAATCAAAATCGTTGATATGAGTATTTTCTGGTACTTTATAAATTAAACGATTCTTGAACATATTTTCGGCTCCCAAGAATATGGGTAACCATTCGTAATAACTAATATGCTGATACTGGCCGATGTTGATTTTACGAGCCTCTTGGAACAAAGTACGATCATCGTAATGGGGATTGAGTTTGGCTAAAGTGTCAGCAATACGGTTATGTTCTCGAAGAAGAATGGTCTGTAAAATCGTTAGACCAGGATTTTGATTGACACGAATATCGCCAGCTCTATAACAAACTTCGTTGATTTCAGTAGCATCACAATCGCCTGTGACATTCTGTGATGATGGCAGCCATTCAGCACCATTTCGTTCTTCAACTATCATCCGTCCACCTTGGAAAGCTCTTATTTCACTGTTTTGTTGTATAGAATTGCCATAAACCAATGATAAATCCATGTAGGCCGTAACAACTGTAAGTTGTTCAGCTGGCCCTCCATGATTGTCGGGACAATTGGCATCCAAATCTGTTAGAGTGCGTACAAAATTTAAACATTCAGTGCCAACTTGCGAAAAGGCTGGATCATGTGGAGGCACTAAAATAGCAAAACATGTCTTATCTGCCTGCTCGCTTCCAACAAGACGGCCATCGTCAGTACAACAACGTGTGGGATGTTTTTCTAAAGTAAATAAATAAAATTTGAATTTAAAACAACTAAAACACATAAATACACTATGAGACATTCTTAATATTATTCTTAAAATTTTGCGAAATTCAAAGTTTGGAACAGTGAATATTATTTATTTTTTGATATCATCCTATTACCAATACACAAATATATTCAAATTCGCAATTGATTTTTGCGAAATGCTAAACACTGTTCTACTGCACGCAGTCAAAGTCATATTTTCAAAACATTTTAAAAATTTTTTTGTAGAGTCTATCATTCTTTTTAGATGTTAATTCTGGAAAGTGTGTAAATAATTCTCAATAACTGAGAATTGGAAAACATTTAGAGGTGTCAGTAGTAGTTTATATATGTATAAGAATATACTTGTAAATGGTTGGAATTAATATCCCTTTACTTCAAAAAAGACAATATTTAAAATAACCTTAATTTGATTTTAAAATTTTAACTTCATGAAAGCTTTTAAAAAAATTTTAACGTTTGTTACACCTGAAATAAGAAAAAATTAATAACCGGAAATATTGTTAATTTCACTTTACCCCATCATTGCGCTTTTTGAGTAATTTAATATTTTCTAGGATGCTACGTTGTGAGCATTTTGAAATTTTATTGAAGGAGCACGCAAAGGCTGATGTCCTTATTAGACATGTGTTTATTTCATCCTGTTATCCATGGTGTTTGCAAGGAATTATTGGATTTTCGTAATTTCTTAGCAACAAAATGGAAAATTGCAGAAGGAAGAAACAATTTTAAATTAAAGCTGATTTATTAGTTCGGACAGTAGCAACAGCAGCTCGGAAACAAAGAACCTCACATTGGAAATACGTACTAGTAAACTTTCCCGAGTCCGATAAGCTTTTCCAAAATGGAAAAATTTGTGTTATATAAGTCCACTCTATTGTAATCACCAAAGGTATTCTTGTAATAAATACATATTCTTTGGTTTTATACACCTTAGTAATGATAAAAAAATTATACTTGACAAATATTAAAGGACTTACTCGATTGTGTGCCACCAGCTTGCATAGACATGTCGTGTGTTATTATCTGACCCCATTGCATATTGACTAGAGTAAAATCTGGATCAGGTACGTCCATCTCGCCAAATACCACCAGTGACACTAAACGAGCATTAGGTAAATCTTGTCCAGTTATCGATCTAGTTGGGGCTGAAACACCATCTGCGTATTTTGGTGAAAGTAAACGTCCATAACGTTGATTAGCCATGCCCAATTGTGGTTGCTCTAAATGATTGCACGAGCCGTCGAGGGTACGATATGTCGATTTTTCACAAACTGCTGGAGGTTGGGCACATGATGCTCGACCGGGTTGTGGATAACGTGGTCCATATAACGGATTACCGCCTGACGCGAAGGGATTTGCTGGTGCTGGAGAAGTCGGCCCAAAACTTAGAGGCACATCATTTCTGTCAAGTTAAAAAAAATATTTGGTGATACAAAATCACATTTAAAAAATCTATAATTCAAATACCCTGTTAACGGCAATGCTAGAGGTGGTGCTGACGCAGGATATTTATAACCATGAAAACCGTTACCATTGTGTTCGTTGTGTACTATATGATAGCCAGTGGTAGATACTTTAACACTTGATGTTTTACTACTGACTGCCAGTAGAATTAGAAAACATATTCCTATTCTCCTGATCATCTGGAAATTAGATAAATTTTAAAATTAAAAAAATATATACATATATATACTTAAGATATGTACAGTAGTTTTCCGAACTCATTCATTTCTACGAACATCGCATTTAACAAACAGTTAAATAACGATTCTTTTTTGTAATGTGTTTAACGAAGAAATAATAATATAATTATTCCAATGAAAATAAAATGGCCTTTAACACATATAACAATATGGCTCCCATACGAGGGCCTCGGGAGATAGCTTTAACATTTATAACTGTTTTAAAAATACCAATACAGCAATAAAATTCGACATAAAAAAGTTTTAAGATCGGATCGGTTCATAATAGATTTAATTCTTTTTACACCCCTTTTAAGGCTTCAGAGAGAGACTCTAACCAAAGAAGATTTATTATATGTATTAAATATTCTTTGCTTTAACACTCATTACAAAATGTAAGTTATCGATAATATTATTCATAAAGAAGTTCTGTACAAAATTGTATGAGGATCGGTCCATAATTGCACAAATGTATTATAAGATTTCACACTACAATGTAGCGTATAATTACAAGCGCCAATAAATCTGCTAAAATATTTAACAGACGCAGCCGAAATGAAAATGTAAAAAAATTTGATTTATTTCAATTGAAATCAATTGCTGCAATCAATTAATGCATTCAAACACAATGATTAACAAAAAGTCAGCAAAGAATGTACACTTGTTTTTTAACGATTTTTTGTTTTTGGATTCGAATAGCATGTACCACGTTGATACATTATTTAACATTTTATGTCACAATTCTTTAAAGACCAATTACATCATGAATTTTGTTCAATACATTTTATTTTTTAATAAATATGAAAGTTTAGATATTTTAACAAAGTATTAAAGGAAATAATTAACTCATTATTTAATATGTTTTATTGTTTTTATGTTTAATACATCGTAAGGTAATGCTATCAAATGATACTTAATAATGTATTGTAAGTTGTCTTAAAAATAAACGATACGTGAGAAGTGTTCCTTCTCACGTATCGTGAGAAGAAACACTTCTCACACTTCTCGATTATGATATCATACTTCTCGATTATGATATCATATTTTATAATTGAAAACGATATTATTATAATATCGTTTTAATATATGTATATTGTTTCCAATAAAAAAATACAAACATTTGAAAATATTTCGAAAATAATTTGAATACAAAATTTTCATGAAAAGCTGTTAAGAAAATTCAAATAAAATCAATTTAATTTAGATAAATAATATAAAACTAAAAGAAATACGCGAATTTTGATATTTAAATTTTGTGGTAAGTTGACATGTATACAATTTTGAAAAAGTTTCAGGTATTTGCATGACAACGCAGATTTTATGAAAAATATGATTTTATGAATGTATCAATCTTTTCTTTTTCAGGCTTTTGTTGTTTTACTTTAGCGAAACATTTAGTTAATATCCTTTAATATGAGATTTTGATAACAAAAGAGCATACAGAATAAAAGCTGGAAAGGGCGATTTTACTATCGTTATTTTTGGAAATTATGATAGCGAAAACGATATTATAATTTCATGAAAAACGATATTATAAGGAAAGGTACAATTTAGTCCGTAAATACTATCGTTTCCGATACGAGAACGATATTACTTATGATAATTTTTATTACCTACGTGATATCGTTATAATATCGTTTGGTTTATTGGGTATATATTATTTCTATTTTTGCTTATTATTAATATGTACATATATGCGATTTTCTTTATAAGCTCATTCTGGCATCTACAAAAATTTTTGTTTATAATCACTTTAGCGGTATAGTCCTCAATTTGTGTGCAATTAAGGGTTGTAACTATAAGCGAAAAATACTGTAGTCCTTAATTTGTGCAATTAAAGGTTGTAACTATAAGCGAAAAGTACTGTAGATGGAACCAATATCGACCATAAATTTTTCAGTCTTATTCTTTCAAGTGTTATAAATAAAAACTCATCAGCATTTAATTTCCAAGAATTGAAACCAAATAAATATTTAAGACAAAAGGATTGTTTCATAAAATTTAAAATACAAATCGAGTTAGGTTAGTATATACTAAATAGTTAGTTGAGTAAACCTGTTATTAAAAAATAAACGAAGTCTATGATGAGTGTGATCCCAATAAACTCTTATTTGACATGCAACATATTTAATTAAATTTCGAAAAGTAATATTGTCAAGTTATTGCTCAATTTTCAATATTTTATAATAATTGAAGAAGTCTTAAACATCTCTGATAGCCGATGTCATGCTGTTGTTACACTTCATTCATCAATTATAAATATTTAGGAATTTTATAAAAAAGAGGTATCACTTGAGCAAAGATGACCCAGACAATTTTGTTATTACCTAAATGCACACTTTTTTTTACCATACATAATACGTTTTCGTTATGTGCACCAAATTGCTAAAGACAACATCCAAGCATTCGTCCTCCACAAAAATGCACCACAAGTGATGTTCAAATATACATATGTATATGTATTTATTATCGTTCATCTAGTTTGTTCGCTTGTCTAGTCGTTTGATCACATGAGTATGTTCGTATACATAAATAACAATCCAAAAACAACAATATTACCAATAAAACAATGATTAACTTTATGCCTTTTGTAGTCTTGTTTTAGAATGTAAAGAGTGCAAGCTCTCGGTTTCCATTGGCATATATTCGCATCGATATGTTATAGGATCATTTATGTATTCCAATACATAAAGCATATGGTGGCAGAAAATTTAATTTTAAACGTTTATATTTTACTTCATCATCAAGTGCAAACCGTCCATTGGATATTTATTTGGAGTTACAAAGCAAACTCTGCAACCAATGCATTGCACAGTATCCGATAAAATTAAAAATTGTTATAGATTTTTAAAAATATATTTACATGTATCTGGCCAATTTTTTAGTTCTAAATATGTTTTAGAACTTCGAAACTGAGGTTTAAAATATCTTTTCAGAATGGAATTAACCAAGAATTAAGAGTTTAGCAGGTTTACAACTTAGGTGAGAGAGCACTGCCTTAAGGCATCAAACAAAAAGTACATACTCCTGCTCAGGGACTATGATATTGTATAAGTGTATGTGTGCATTTTCCGAAAAATTTTATTTACCACCGTTCGTTTTTTATGTAGCATGGTTTAACAACATAAATTCAAGCGACATGCACCATACTGAAACAGTGACACACAAACTTATTCTAAATATTGTACATTGGAGACATCTTGTGTCGACGTTACTCTTTTTCAGCTGGGGCCGTTTATTTTTTCGTGATTGTCTAGTAAATTCGATTTGTTGTGGTGTATTATGCATTTTGCACCATATAAATTTAAAGTGGTAACGAAAAAAAGTAAAAATCGTACTTTTTTTTCATAAATTTTTATTAACAAGATGAATTGATCAGTTTTTATGTGGTCATGAGATAGATACATATATAAATACGTACTCATATACCCACATACATTGTACATACATACATACATACATACATACATACATACATACATACATACATACATACATACATACATACATACATACATACATACATACATACATACATACATACATACATACATACATACATACATACATACATACATACATACATACATACATACATACATACATACATACATACATACATACATACATACATACATACATACATACATACATACATACATACATACATACATACATACATACATACATACATACATAAGTAAGTGTTACAAATGTATGTCGGTTAATTTTTTATGCTTTTCGAATAACTTTGTTTTAAACATAAAAAAACTATAAATAACACACCATTCCGAAGAAAATAATCTTAACAGAATATTGAAAATATTCAGCACAACATGTCTCAGAATGAGCATTATTTTTTTTTATTTACACCATTTTCCAACCATTTTTAATTGATTTAGTAATGTGATGACATACATGTCAAAATACCTGTTGGCATTTTTTTGCTTCTCCATTCATTACAATTATTTTTGAATTTAGATTTTAATCTGCTGTCAACATTTAAATTCTATTTGTAAGGTAAATCATATCGAATGTTATACTGTAATTAATGACAGAATATTAAATTAATATATGGCACAGTGTCGCATTTAGTACATTCTGTTACGACAGAAGTCTAATTTTAGAAGTACATATATAATTCATATTAAGTTAGTACATATAGGCAATTTCCTGTCAAGTGACCCAAATTAAAAAAAGCGGTCAAGAACTACCGCAGTTAATGGGGGTCAAAGGGTTTTTCAAATACAGGGTCATGCAGGGTATTTTCAAATGAGTGTAACTTTTCACCTGTTAGTCCTTGCAGAAACTGTCTAAAGGAGTTTAGATAGATATTTCTTCACTGTTTCAAAAACTAACTTTGGTGCATATTTTTGGGTTGCGCTTATATTTTTAAGTTCAATACAAAAAATTCACCCCTATTCTGCATTTCGATTACGTTTACGCGTTCAGTTACGCAACGATCGCAAAGTTGCCAAAAGCAGAAAATTTCGATTCCAATTGAAATGCCGAATAGGGGTAATTAACTTAAAAATATATCAAAATGCTTTAAATAAGTATATAATAAGGATACGCCTACGTTTTGTAACGTGAGTGAAAAAAATGTGATTAAATTTTACAAATTAAGTTTAAAATGTATACCATAAACTTACATATATGTCTATCATAATAACCATGCCCACAACCAAATATTTTTCCTACTTTTCGCTACTAATGTTTTCAAAACTACTGGATGTATATAAAAATCGGGAAAATAAAACTTAGTTACAGAAACAGGTGCCGGAACTCATCAAAAGATGGGGGTTGCACAGATAACTATAAACCATTCAAAATGTATTTTTTAAAGGTTATTCTGTGTACTGAACATTTTGGTCCTTATTAAATTTAAGACGATTTAGCAATGTCCGTCCGGCTGCCCGCAAAAGCATAAAAGGTCCCAAACATAGTGACATTTTCCACAA